CCTAAACGTCTCCACTTCCTGGTGCAAACGATGCAATGGTGCACATAGGGCCATCCTAAATTGAGAAGATATTAAAGTGCCTTTGTCAAATTGAACTATTCATTTTGCAAAAACACAGTTAAGATCATTATATTTAAGACTTTACAAAACATTTTACAGTCAAAAACATTTGCATTTAAATTGTGACGAACTTTTGGACAGAATTCTCCCTAGTGTGATGTCCTCAATATGGGACTCTCTAAAATAAATCGCTCAACTTCCAATAATTTTCAACATATTTTGAACTTTTCTTCACAAATTGCCTCTTACATGGTCTAAACCTATAATTTATATTTCCAACTGGTTACAACACCAAATTAAAACAAAATTAGAGAATGTAATTTTAACATAACTTAAGACTTAGCGTGATCCTTATAGGAATGATCTGAATAAGAAATTGCAATAGAAAATACTAGTATATATGGAATTTGATGTTTGGTATTTTGCTAACCTTTGCTTGGCAGAGGTACACAAGGCTTTGCTGGTGGCGTTCATCATATTGCCAGCTTTAGTTTTATCATGTTCACCCTGGAAATGCAGAAACAGCCCCAGCTCATTTTCTTCTTGGGATAACCCTGAGAGAGAGAAAAAAACATACAATAAGACAAAGACTGGTAACTGTATTATTTGTCAGGAAACCGTTTTGAGGGAACTTACTTGTAATCCTTTGTTGATATCTCTCTATGACCTTCAGGAGCTCTGTGCATGTAGACTGAACTGAACGGAAGAACTGACGGAAATAAAACAAAACATGAGAATGAGAAAATTTTTTATTAGTACTATTAATCTACTGACCACAAATAAAACACAACTGCAAATAGGCAAATTGCAATGACAAAAAATGTGTTTATTCTCTTAAAGGGTCTATATTATGCAATTTTGAGACGTATATTCTAATGTTGTTTCCTCATCAAAATCATATCTGGAGTTTTCTTTCATTCACACATGTTTAACAAACAAACCCTGCATATTTAGGCATTCTGTTCCACGTTGTGATGCCATACCATATGGTAATAACACAGGATGTGCTCCATTGTGTTTTTAAACTCCATACACCTTCACTTAAAAAAGTAAAAGGTAGCTTTTAACAGAAACTCACAAGGTAGAAGAGAGCATTTTGAGCTTTGGAGATGTAAACAGACTAATAATTAAGGGTTACTTAAATGTGTGAGTGAAACAAAACACAAATTCAGGTATGTTTTTGATGAGGTAACAACGTTCTAGCATGACTCAAACCTCACAAGAGTCAATTTTGCATAATATAGGATCTTTAAAGGGGCACTATGTAACTTTGTGTAATGTAACCTACCAATCTACTATATGTATAATAATGTTTTTATATTGTCGCAAAATGCCTTGCACAGTGCAAGGCATTCTCAGGAACATTGACATGACAATTTATCTTTTAGCTTGTCATCGATGACTAGGCTAAAAACAAAACCTAGCATACAACATGTGGTTTCTAATAGTGTCTAAAAAAAGTTTGGGTGGTGGCAACTTTAACATGTTACTTATTAACAGTAAAATAAACAGTTTGTGCCTTGAGTGTATTATACCTCCCTCAGTAACAGTGGAGCACCTGTCAGATGCAGGCTATACTTGCTTTGATAGATCTGTACTAATGTCCCGGTCACTACGGACACGCTTTTTAATGTGCTCCAGTGAAGCGTGGGGCTGCATCCAATTCAGATAAATCACACTGGCTCTGACTCAGTGATATGTCAGAAGAAACACAGTGGCCAGTAGCGATAAACACCCAAATCAATGGAGTAGTGAATAAAACAAGACACTTTTGTAACCGTGAGTACAAAACCTGAATGTTTACAGCTGGTTTGATTGGCATAATAGCACATATAAAAGCCACCAAGCAGAAAGCTGATATAAAAGTCATGCTCAGAGGCGATGCTGTGATCACACTGAGAAGAAAATCAGATTACCAAATGAGGCGGCTCTGCAAAAGAACCAAATCTAATAAACGAACAGTACGAAAACTCTAAATGAAAATTATGGAGATTCACTGTGATATAGATCTGCTTTGTATTCTTGCACAAATGCTGAATCCATATATTATCATTTTACAACTTCTTTTACGGTCAAATGGTATGTTTGAGGAACCAAGGAGAGGCACAGTAAAGCAGCACTGGGACAGAAAAATCTTGTTCCTACGTCAACAATGGGTTCCCAGTAACAGTGAAATACTACCACCTCCCAGTCTCACGGGACGCCCTGTCACTTCTAAATGCCAGTTCTCGGCCAATCAAATGGCTCTTTTGTTTGCTGAGAATCAACACAGCAGACAGACACACACTGTACTTTTTTGAGCTAAACTAGACTAGTGTGTGCCCCCCTCATATCCCCCTCTAAAGGTGAATTAAATATAGTCACTGGTATAAATAATACTTGTTGTTTGTTGTAATAATCATGTTCAAGCAGGCTTTTAAATTGACTGTTTTAAAATGAGTGTCAAATGTGGTATTTTTACTCTAAATATTGTTTTACAAAATTATACACCCAAGAACTACCTGTGCCACCACAGTTATTTACTTAAACCTAATAAGAAAACATGACTCATTTTCTACAGTTCAAATTTCACTTCATTAAACTTATTGTATTACCTGTATTAGTTTTATAGTAATATATAGTAGCATATTGCACAACTTTACCTCAAGTTTTGCATCCAAATCTGCATCTGATGCCACCACATACTCGTCTTCTTTTTTCCCAGTGGCTTTAATCAGCACCTGCTTTGTTTTCCAAAATTTCTTCTGCATTCGAGCCATCACAGAGCTGTCGTCCAACATGTCCCCCATAAACCTATGCATAACACATCAAAACAGAATAATATCATCAGAAATTAAAACAAGAGCTATTTTTTGTATAATTTAAATACATACCCGTCCATTGTGGCTTGTAGGTGTTAAGATCTTTCTGCAAAACACAACATAAAGTCAAGAATGAATAGTTTCCTTGGTAAAGTCGCTGTCCCTTTAAAAACGATGCATGACGATGTGTACTGGTGACGATTGCGTATCCAAAATTATTTTATGCTTTATTTTCCATGCATTTTTCCATCACATGCAGAGGCCAAAGTTAGACAGCAGCTGGTTGGTTATAATTAAGTTATAAGGGTTTATCGTGAGCCGCCGGGACAATAACACTTTGGAGCTAATCTAAAGCTAATCTAATGTGGTTAAAGCAAGCATCAGACACCTGCTTTAAGGACACAGCACTGGGAGTCAGCTGGAACAGGGCAGGTGTAAGAAAAATACCCTACAGGACAGAAACAAAGCAAACTACGGGTCAAAGCGATTGCAAACGGGACAGTTACATGGCACTGGGTTTAATATTTGGAAAAAGATGCAAAAATAAAAGGATGATCCGAATATCGTATGAATAAATGCACTGAAGGAGCTAGCAGTAGTAGCACGTAGCTTGTCTTGTGTGACCGTAAAAGCGTCGCGGCTCGTCATCTTTAAAGTGAACGATGGGACAGTCAAACGAGTCCTTATCTGTTATAAATATACGAGTTTGTAAGGGTAATCTGGACACTACCTTGTCTTTGATCGCGTCCAGCTGTCAGAGCATCTATGGGGTTAGCCTCCTCTGCCGATAGCCATCATCTTCTGAGTCAGAGAAACAGGATATGCAAACAAGCTATGCCCGGTCGAGACGCACGGGGGCGCTGCTGTCCTCAGTGTACGCAGATCGTCTATTGAAACACACCAATGCGTCTTCACTCATTCACAACCGAATTTCTCCATTTTGTTCATGATTTTAATCTCTTTTACTTGGCCAAATTGCGCAGGTTAAGTAGTTTGTCTTATATTCTAAAGTAAAAAATATAATAGCAAAGTAAACGGCATATTTTTTAAGTAGCACACTTGAAATACAGAGTGATGGCTTACGTTTTGCCTTTGCTGACCTGAACAAGTCTTAAGAGGAAAGGGTATGTTAGCAGAAAGATGACAGAATCCCGTTTAAAAGGAAATATGTGGGCATTGTTGAGTAGAAAAACATCACAAGGAATTACTTATATGTAAATCACTTTTTGAATTACTTCACTTCTTTACCACATACTTGTAATTTGAAGTGTTATTCCAAATTCACCATAAGAAAGACAAATATGCAGTATTCCAGGAAATACATTTATTTTAGTTTTGTGGATCACATAAACCACTCACATTTCTATAATTGGAAGGGTCTGTGTCTGTCACATTATGACACATTATATATTAACAATAATGAATGTGATTAGATGTAATTGCAGCTCTTCTACGCCCCTGCATCAGTCTGACATGGAGAGTATCTGTAGGAGTACAACTTGTTATCTGCACCTCCACTTAGCATAAGCTGCAACAGAAATAGAAACCACCAGCATTGATTAGCAACACATTTTAAAACATGATATGATTGGGTCTTGTTTGGTTTTCTTTCTTACCCCGCTTTCTGTCCAATCAACGCAAAAGACTTTGTCCTCGTGCGCTGCCAGGTCGTACAAAGGAGCTTTACAACTGAAACATAAGCAGATTCAAATCAAAATACAAAAAAACAAAAATACACTTATAAATGTAAATCATTTCTTTGCCATTGATTTAGTGAGCTATGTTAGTCCTATGCAATCCTTACAATGGCGTTGGTGGACCCAGAGGAAATAAATGTCTTGAGAATGGCCTTGTTGACATACCTTCTAGTGTCCCACAGTTTGACCATGTTGTCAAGGGAACTGGAGACCAGCTGGTGCTCGTTTGAAGGTGCCCACTTTACAGCAGTGACCCAACCAGTGTGCGAAGTCAGATTGAGCAGTACCAGGGCTCCGTCTGCAGGGGAAGGAAGGAAATGCTCAGAAAACATGGCAGTGAAAACACACTCTGCACTTCTTTAAATCAGGGAAATTGTTTAGCTAAGTTTGTAGGTCCTTCCTGTTTTTCAACCTTTTAACTTCAGCAGGGCCCTCAACTTCAAGTTTAATATAGGATCCAAGAAATTAAACAGTAATAAATATTTGGGAATCATTTTTCACATCAAAGGGAGGATTCTGTAGATTTCCCAGAAGCATACATTTTATACCTTTGACCCTACATTTCTGCATTCTTTTCTCTGACTCAGTATCTCTTCAACTTAGTTATTGAAAAAGTAGATTTGGCAATGGGAACATTCTCAATACCTTTAGTTCGAGGGTCCCAGAGTCTTATGTGACGATCAGTGCTGCCTGAAGCCAACCGTCGACACAAAGGCGAGTAGGAAATACTGTTAAAAACTTTACTACCAGTCTGAGAAGAAACAAAAAATATTAAATACACAATCTTATTTGTAATGGCAGCAGTGATTTGATTGTAGTTACCAGTGTTGTCTTCATAATTCCTGATTCCACATCCCAAACACGAATTGTATGGTCCCAAGATGCAGTGCACACTTCGTCAGTATCAGTCCATAGGGCAGATGAAACTGCTTCACTGTGTCCAGATAACGTCATGATTGGTGTCTGGATCATTTTAAACAGGCAGATTAATAAAGCTTAACACTGTATATTATCTGTGCTAATAAAATGTTTATAAATCACACTGCTAGAACTCACTCTGGTTAAACCCAGCTGTTGTGTCTTTTGTTTCTTTCTTGGTCTATCAGCTGGCTCTTCAACCTCATCCGCCTCATCTGTTGGTACTAATTTAATGATAAAAAATATTAATATTTTGTCTTATGTATTACACATGCAGTTACATCTTAATTTCCAAAGCATTAGCATACCTGCCGACCAGATCTTTAACATTTTGTCCCATGAACCACTGCAGAACTAGAAAAAAAAAACTAAAGTCAAATCTGGCGTGATATGTCATATTTAATCATAAACATGAGCTGATGGGGGCTGTTAAAGCACCCATATTGTGCTGTTTTCTGATGTTATGTTGTTTCCTCATCAAAACATATCCAGAGCTGTTTTGTTTCATTCACACATGTTTAACACAGAAACCCTGCGGAGTGGTCTTCTGCCACATTTGCTGCCACATATGGTGTAAAAAGCCTATTGCATTTCTAATGTCCATAGCTACCTCTTTAGCTAACTCCTTAGCTAGCCTCTTGCATGGTCTCCATGGATACAGAAAAAACAAACAGCTCATTTCACAAAATCCATCAGTCTCTTACTTGTGTCCTTTGAACTGCATATGCTCCACTTAGTTGGTTAAAATCCCATGATGTGATGTTAAAAACTGAGCTCAAAAGGCAAAAAGTTCAAAAACTGTTCATTCTGGGAGCCAGGTAGTCACAAAAGCAGCCAACCACTGTTGTTATAATAAAAAATAATAATAATAATTTTGAGCAGAGTTCTTCTCTAAAACAATAAAAGAAACTCTGTTCTGCCTTGTTATCTCCAATCTCTACTGATGTAAATGTAAAAGGCAACTTGAAAATGGCCACTTCCTGACATCACAAGATGGAACAGAGCATTTTGATTCATGGAGATGTAATCAGATTAATAATGAAGGACTACATAAACATGTGTGAATAATAATAATAAAGGATTACTCAAACTGTGAAAAAAAAATGTGTGAATGAAACAAAACAAAACTCCAGGTGTGTTTTTCATGAGGTAACAGCATTATAACGTGGCTTAAAGCTCACAAGAGTCAATTTTGCATAACATAAGAACTTAAATTTACCTTTGTACCAGTGGGGTCTGTAGCAACTGTATCGACACTCGCTGTGTGCCCCCGACAACAGTGTCTGGCAGTGACTTTGTTCTTTTCTGAGTTCCACTCCCACAAAATGACATTGTGGTCCAAAGAGGCAGTCAGGAGCAAAGAAGTCAGATTTTCTAAAAAAATAAAAAGACATTTTAGACATCTAAGCTTTAGATATACTCACTCACAGCTATAATTATTTTTTGTAATTTTCTTTTTTATTTTCTTAAGGTGACCAAGTGTATATAATTAAAAAATAACTTTATATGTACATGTTTTCATGGTACTACCACATATCCATATATATACAGTTTTCTCTCTCAGAATACTTTATTTTACCTATAATTTCTTAGCCCTCTTTTTATTCTTTTCATCATGCATAATTTTCTTTTCCTTCTTTTTTATTATCCTATTTGTTAAGCACATTTAATATTCAATTTTAAGTTAAAATTTCATTATTTAGAATCAATATTATTTTTAGTTATCATATTCATTTTGAAGTCTTATATTATTAATTTTTATTTCATTATTTTAAATTACTTTACATTACAGGCTTTAATTTAAATTCTAAAAGCTATAAAGATTACTTTTTCGATCTCACCTCTTTTGACCCAGGCTACATCTTTGACAACGTCTGTGTGCCCAGCGACTGTTAGTACAGGTTTGCCCTCCACAGACCAGATTCGGGCAGTTTTATCGTATGACCCAGTGAGAATCCTGCAAAACAACAGACATTATCATTTATAACACACAAAAACCACAAACATGTATGACTACAGTATTATTATAAAACAAATGTCATTTTAGCAGATAGTTACCATTCTGAATCTGCTTGTACAGAACTGATCCAATCGTCATGCATCATACACTCCTCAGGCTCAGGGGCTGTGATTTTCTCCACATACTCAATCTCAACTACATCTTCCTGTAATAGACACATGTAACATAACTTTAGAATGACAGCAAAACAATTGTCATTGATAAGAAATATCTAAACAGAATACTTACTGTCGATATACCCTCTGTTTCCATATGGGTGGAGAGTGGTGTTCGTAAAAACTGTCCTTTAACCAAGAAGTCAAAATCCACCTTCTTGTGAGATGCTGCGTAAATAATGGCAAATAACATTATTAGCCATTAATTACAAGATAACAAAACTTTTTATTTAGACAGGCTTAGACATATGTAAACAACAGTACAAGTACAAGTAAGCCAATACACATAATCATAACCATATAATTGTTATACATATTTATCATAGCCTACCATGTTTTGCCTCAAGTAACTTATTGATGACATTGCTGAGGTCTTGAGTTTCAGATCCAGCGGGTATGGAGAACGGAACATCATCTACAAGATACCTGTGAGAAATGTACGATATTAAAAAAGTTTATCAATTAAAAAGCCAGACGGTCTATAAAATGATAAAGTAGGATAGAGCAATGAATAGCCAGAATCAGCATCACATCAGCACGTTTTACATGAGATGCCAGGTTAGCAGTCGAAGCTAGCATGCATGTTTACCAATTTCGCCTAGTCTAGGGATTAGGAAAGTCACTTACCGTTTGTCTTCTGTGAAAAACCTTGCTTGTAATTGCGACATTTTTATAACTGTGTAGTTTAATTTGGCTGTAGGTTCGCTAGATGTGACTACAGCCTTCACAACATACCAAATCCACGCAAGGGAACCATGTGGTACGAGAGCTAGGCATTGTAGCAGAGCACTGAGCTAATCGATGTTCAAAGAGGATCTTCGTGTAATGTCTGTTCACCACAGACCATCATCTTGGATTGAGGTTTTAATTTTCAGCACTGTAAACATAACTATTCACGCTAATAGGAGGCTTGAAAATAACATAACACATACTTAGGCTCATTAATATGGACTTTATAGTTGCCCTAAAGGTATCCAAACTGACCTTATGCTTACTTAGTCCTATTAATTCATACTAGATACACTAAACTTTTAAAGTACACAATATGTTTTTATGTTTTATACGTCTTTGATGTGTAACAAGATGACAACACAATCACATATACATTTTTTTTTTTTTTATTTCAACAGGGCCATTGTCTTACTAGTAAAATGATAGCATTTGTTGTACAGAACATAAGAAGCATTTCTTAAAAGCAAAGGTTACAATTCAGGATCATCCAGAAACACTTGACATATTGCCCTGCTGACAGATGATTATGATTAAACAAAAAAACAAACATAAAAATCTAAAAAATATATATACACAAATGTGCCATCTTCTTTACTCATCATCTGCTTCCTCTTCCTTTACTTTCTTTTTCTTCTTCTTTTTCTTCTTTTCTATGGACTGGATAAAATGAAATATAAATTAATATAAAAAAGCAAGTGTCACTGATAAACATGTATTTGCCTTACCTCTGATACTGGCACTTCCATCTCTTCCTCCTTTGCTTCCTGCTTAACGGCCTCTTCAGCGGCCTCGTCTGATTTCTTATCTTTCTTCTTCTTTTTCTTCTTCTTGGGAGTCTCCTCAGAAGCTTCTGCTGTTTCAGTAGCTTCTTCTAAAATTAGAGTTAAATTAAATTATAAGATTAAATATACAAGTTAGACAGATAATAGCCAAACTCTGAACTACATTACTAATAACATACCTTCTGTTACTGTCTCCTTTTTAGACTTTTTGGGTTTGGGCGCTGGTGTTGTGGGCTCAGCGTCTTCTGGCTCCTCTAGCTCTTCAATCTTCCTCTTCTTTGATGTGGATGGGATTGTGGAATCGCCGGATGGATCATATACTTTCACTTCACTATTGGATGTAGTTAAGCTCAGTCAGCAATATTTAATGAGGGGGAAAAAAAAATTATCCAAAATGTGAATAGTCTGTGTACCTTTTGTGAGTGTATTTGTCTGCTTTGGCCATTGCTTTGCCTGTACCACTAATTCGCCTGATCTGTTTGGAGAAACAGTACAAATAAGAGATTGTAGTACTTTTTACATAGAAAAACAATTTAAGGAAAGCGCTAACTAACACATACTCCTTTCTCTTCAAGCTGACGCAGGCGGGCTTCCAACTTGGCTCGGTTCTCCACACCCATTTCAGCATTGGTGTCTTCTCCCAGCGCGTCATAACGAATAGCCAGGGCCGTTTTAGCTGCCAGCATTCTGGATATCTTAAAAAAAAAGAAAAAAAAAAGATGTCTGATTAGCTATAATGTTTACTATAACTGCATTTAAGTAGTAGTCAGTGAACCCACCTTGCCCTTGTTCTTGGCAGTGGTCTGGCCCACTAGAGATGCATGGTAGATGAGACCATATTTGGGTGTGTCTTTGCGAGTTTTGAGGGCTCGGAACAAAGCTTTCTCTGCTCCCAAGATCTGAACTGTTGAGGCGGGGTGCTTTGCCAAATTCAGGAGAGAACCTGCATGGCACAGGAACAAACTAAAAATACAATTGCCCCAAGTGCCCTTAATAAATGTCAGTTTTACAAGCTCAGATGAGGTAGTGACTTAGTACCATCAGTCTCTATCAGGAAAGTGACAATTTGTCGCCATCATCACCGCTTGGTTATTGTTACTATTATTATTTTATTTTTTTCAGTACAGGTCTATGTAAACTCACCTGCATGAGAAATAAGTCGCGCTCCAACTAGCTCTCCCACCATTACTGTCAGATTTGGAGCAATGGCCATCATCCTGTTCTTTAGGTAGTCATACAGCTGCACTCTGTATTCTGTAATCTCAATCACCTGAAAAAAGGACAAACAGGTGAGCCATGGCTAACTATATTATCACAAGCTAAGCCCACACGGACAGTTCAGATGAGGTAGTGACTAAAAAGCCTACATGATTTATTTCAGGATAAAGACAAAAGTCATTATCATCACCACTGCCCCTTCTATTTGCCTTAAGGTGTTTCAGCTTACAAAGTCATACCTGATCACAGAGATGACTGATGTTGGCGATGTCCTGTTCCGACACCTCAGTTCCCATGGAGATCTCTGCAGCCAGTTTTACCTCTGCTTCAATCTCCTCAGGCAACAACTCTGACAAATCACTGCCAGCCACATTTGTTCGATCACCTAGACAACATGATTTTAGTCATTTCAAGTTCTTTATTAATCCAGCCACTACAGTCTAAGATCGTACCAATTTTTCTGACAGTTTTGCAGTAGGCCAAGTTATCTGTGACGATTTTCCCCAGCTCAGGGAAGTGCCAGCCATACCACTCTCTGCAGCGCATTATGTAGTTGTTCAGCTCTTTATCCAAATCATCCAACAAAGCTGAAACAAAATTAGTTTGTTAAACAATGGTCAGACCAAAAGATTTCACTTAATTACTCACTCAAACTTACAGATGGCTTGAACAATCATGGTGTCAACTTTGTCTGGACTGAACTTCAACTTGTATCGAGATAAGCTGAAAAGAGATAAAAATGTTTTTTTTAAAATACAATAAATAGACACACAACCCTTTAAGGACTTTAATCGAGCCTCAGTGGTAGTGACGAATGCTGAAAATGTATTCTACAGGTATTTTCAGACAGCAAATGTAATCATAGGCATAATTCAAGTTAGTTACCTATGAGCAATCTATGAGCTATCTATGAGCTTAATTTACCTGTGAGCTAAACCGAGGGACATGGCACTGATATCGCGAGCAGGAAGTCCAGTGATGAGACCCTCCATCTGACTCCTGATACACCTCATGAGCTCCGCCACAGCAGGGCTGTGGACACAACTGATGTCCAACTTTTCCTAAAAATAAATAAATAATTAATTAATAAAAAAAAAAAACATATTAGGATCTTGACAAACTTGACCTTCTGTTAATCTCACTTACTTTGATAACACCACCAAGTTTAGCATCACTGATAGCCAGTTGCTCATGTGCTTCCTTGGCAACGATCTTTTTGAGGACCTTCTTCAAACTCTTGCCAATTTTTCCCTCAACAAGAGCAGTAGCAGCTGAAAGACAAAATATTGGGCATTGCATTGGCATTACTATTACATTTTAAATATTATATGATGTCAAGTAGTTATTAGTCTCAGTGGTAGTGACGAATGTTGTGAAATCTTCATCTTAATTCTGACACACAAACACATCACAGAGCAGAAATAAATAGTCATGTCCATGGAAAACAATCTTACCTGCCAAGGCCTCTGTGGTGTCTTGAAACTTCTCAAAATGCTTCAACTTGAGACTGCAAAGAACAAGTAGATAATATTTATCAAATACAAAAAATGCACTACGTATTTCATTGTATTAGCATTATTTTAAGCGTATTCCAATTACATTACTCACACTTTGTTCGCCTTTTCAGGTGTTTCGAATTCTTTATACAAGCTGTCCACTTGTTGCAGCTTGGACTCATCGAGGACCTAAAATTATATTGTTGATTAGATTACACATGATTTAGAATTCAACAATTTCTTCTGATGAGTTGGATCTACAGAGCGTGCTGCAAGCCCGTTATAAGCTTACACACGTGGTGAATTTTCATGGGCTCCAAACTCAAACTAGGATTTGCTGAAGTGACATCAGCAACTATACAATAAGTCCATTGTGCGATAAGAACTAGTATAACAATGTGCAGATGGCATTTTATGGCGAGTACAAATAATAATAAGATACCTGAAAAAGGAGTGAACGAAGTTAGCTGTGATGCTAATCTGAGCTAGCCGGTGAAGTGTAAATTAGAACATACTGAAAGGCTGTGATGATTACAAAATTAAATCAAATACGTACTTTGAAGATTGCATATCCAGCGGCCGTCTCAAATAAAACCAACATCTTGACAAAACACTTTGATGGCCCTCTAAAGAGAGAGCTCTGCGCTTCTTCTGATCACCACGCTGCAGCTCGCAGGACCAGCACACATGTGGTGATGTAGGGCATGGAAAAGTTTGGGTTGCCAGATCTGCTCTATCTCTTTTTCAAGTGGTCCCTTGAATAAACAATATTTGGATTAAAATTAGCATTATCATGTCATCTTAATATTAAAATGTTTGTCAACTACAAACCAAGAATAAATAGAGTAAACAACTAGTCTATTAATATTTACAACAATATAACGGCTTAAATTACAACAATTACAACGGCTTAAATGTGTTGTGTGATGGCAACCCGGGGGAGATATCGCGAGGTTCAGCACGCGAGAACATATTTTTTTTATATGATTTAATATTTAATATTTAATTTTAAAGTACACTTCAGCTGATGTAATTAATATATGACATAAAATGTATTCACGCCTTACTATGCTACAGGCCTACAAAATGACTAAATTAAGATTTATGATAATTTCTTCTTTATCACATCCTGTTTTGGCGGAAGTGACGCATTGGGAAAACTCAAGCAAAACACGCGCACGTGAAAATGGTGAAAACGTGAAGGCGACTTGAGTTTTATTTGCAAGAATAACTTAGATTTACCGAAGGACACGTTTAAAGTTCGAGTAAAATGAGTGAGTCGGGACATTACCCTCCTCCAGATTTCAGCAGTCCGCCCCCGAACACGTTTCAGCAGCAGCCCAGGGCCAGCAGCTTCCAGCCGGGCATGTGGACCTGGCAGGAGACCCCTTCAGAGACCAGCTGGGGCTACAACAGCAGTTACTACGGAGCTACAGCGAGCTACGGGTCACAATCTTTATGGGGAAGCTATGGCACTAATGTACCACACGGTGCGTAGACATTAAACTCAGCCAGTGCCTTGAAATTAAAGCATTGGTTTTCACTCATGAATCGTATGCATGTCTAGGGTTATATACCATATTATGTCTGTGTAATCCCTCAGACGTCAGGTAGGATCAATAGCAAAAGAAAAAATAACTTCACACTCTTTTGCTATGCCATATTATAACTAAAAATCGAATTATCTCATTCAATAGTTTTAGTCTCATTCAGTGTTTAATTATTTAGTTTATTTGTGAGATACACATGCACACCGTTCAGTATGTTGTGAAATTCTTATGTACCTTCCAGCAACATAAACACAGTAAATACTTACAGGAGGAGAGAGTTAGGAGTGTTTAAATCCATTGTCCTGGTTGTTTAGGTCAAAGCTATGGACATCAGTGGCACCAGAGAGGAGGACACGGAGGAAGACAACATTACGGAACCCCGGGAAATTATGGGAACAAAGTATGATAATAATCTGAAATATTTACTTAATTTTTGTCCTTATGAGTGTCTAATAGAATGTGTCTTCATTACATCTTTGCCAGAAAAATAAGAAGGAACCTGAATTTCCTTATTTCTGCGACACTTGTGACCGAGGATTTAAAAACACTGAGAAGTATAATGAACATATGTCCCAACATGTCAAGGTAAATTATTAACTTTTATATTTGGATTCTACTGCAGACTGTATAAATACAGCATACAGTCTATGGATTTTACTTTAATATAGTTGTATTCACTTTATTTAATTACATTTCAGTGCTCTGTTCCTGACTGCACTTTTATGGCTCATGAAAAAATTGTGAACATTCACTGGAAAAATGTAAGCCTGCAAATATGTTAGACTTTTACATTTTTGTAATCTTTAGTTTCTATTTATTCATCAGTTTTGTTATTCTTTTTGTAGAACCATGCACCAGGAACTAAACGGATCAAACTGGACACACCTGAAGAAATTGCTAAATGGCGAGAGGAAAGACGAAAGTATGTGTTTAAGATTAAGATTAAAAGACATGTTGTGGAATCATCATTTTGAGACAATTTTTTTATGTCAATTCACTTTAAATACCAGGAACTACCCTACACGCGAGAATGTTGAGAAGAAGAAAAAGATGATGGAGATGAGAGAGGAGACAGGAGGTGTTCTCGAGACAGCTCAGTTTGGGTACGTTTTCTTTCTGTCCAGTATTTAATGTAAAATGTTGAAATTAGATATATTTACTTTTTATATTGTTTTCCACAGACGAATGAGAGGAAGAGGACGGGGTAGGGGACGTGGAAGAGGCCGTGGTTGGGGAAACAGGGGGTCTCAGGGTTGTTATCAAGAAGCTTTTCATACTTCAGGTGGTATTGTTCCAGTGAAATCACAAACACCAGCAAAAATCAATAGAGATGGAGATCCACTTGGGGTGTTAGCTTCTGGAGACCATGGTGAGTTTATTTTGTGATTTATAAATGGTTAAAAAAGTACAGTGTTTGACAATGTAAAAAATGCTTACAGATTCAGACAAGGATGATGCTGCTCCTGAGAAAGTAGTTGTGGCTCCTAAGCAGATCAGTTCAGCATTGGGATCTCTGATGGCAAATTATGGGTCAATGAGTGAAAGTGAGGAAGAGCCTGACTGTAAGTATACATTTCTGCATGGTCTAGTGTAATAAATAAATAAATAAATATATATATATATATATATATATATATATATATATATATATATATATATATATATATATATATATATATATATATATATATATATATATTAATAACTAAACATTTACATTTTCATCAGCTACTCCAATTCAAAAAGCAAATGAGCTAGTACAAGAAAACCAGACCATCCTGAACAGCATGACAACCAACTCCCAGGGTAAAGCTTCAGGAACAATTAATACAGAAAGAAGTGATAATAGAAGAGGACAAGGAAGACGAGGAAGGGGAGGGAGGCGTGGTAGAGGACGTCATCAGGCCCCACCACAGAAGACGGGTCCCACTCTGCTAGAGATGGTAATTATACATATAATAACTATATACAATATACATAAAAATCCAATTTATATGTATTTATAACTAACCAAACTGTTTTTATTTTCTTTTGAACAGCTGTTGGCTCCAGATATCCGTCACGAGAGAAATGTCTTACTGCAATGTGTGCGTTATGTTGTTAGAAATAATTTTTTTGGACTGGATAACAAGTCACAGGAAGATAGTAAAAAATCCAGCAGTACAAATGGAAAACGCTCTGAAAGTGGTAATGTTCATACAGATGTAAATCAATATGTTTCACATAACTGTACTACTGTACATTCAGCCCAAGAGCAAGATAGCTTGGAACAGTTGGCTGGTCTTGTAGAAAGCTCCCTAAATGCAGCTGAAGTTTCACAAAATTCAAATATATCACCAAGTATGAACTGTCAAAATGAAAATACATCTAGTTATCAAACTTACGATGATGAAATATGGGAGAGTGATTTGAAATAGCATACTCCTTTGTATGGTTGTGGTGTGGTTAAGATATAATTTCAAGCAGCTGTAATATTATGTAATGAATCCTTTTGTGTTCATTTATGTATGTGTTATACAATTTTGTACAATAACATTTGATTACTTTTCATTTAAATAAATGAGCCATTTTGTGGTTTGCTGTATCCGTTAAGGTAGTACTTGCAGTATTTATCAGCATGAAATATTATAGGTTGTTGCCCTTATTAGTTATTACTAGGATATTAATTGCAGTGTATTTCACCAACAAAAATGCAGCATCACTTGTTAATTTTCGAATTATATTATTTTGTCCATACGTTTGCATATTGTAATTATATTTAGTCAAAAATTATTTGATTTCTTACACCTTATTTTATGCTGTTCATCTCGTATACCGATTGTTTACTATTCATGTTTTATGATGCACCACCACATTGTTAAAACACATGCCTAGTTTATAAATTTTGTTCTAGACCATGACAAAGCTTTTTCTGACTTTTTTGTCTAATTCTGACCTCGATCAGATAACCTTTGCTATTATTTGAAGTAGCCTAAAATCACAGTAGTTTTTCTTAGAATGGTACCATGTATTTGCCTATAATAACAACCATACTTTGGAATACCATGTATTCATTACAATGTACTACAATGATTACTATTCATTACTATTGCATGATCTCTGCACTGACCAGGCGGAGCGCTCGTGAGTGTAAAATGAGCGCCCGTCTCCTGGAAACCACCTGAGCTCTGCCCTCAACATTTGGCTAGCAACGGTCCACAGAGACCCGTGTCTATCGGAATGCGAGGAGACATTTATAAAACTCAGCTAAAACCACTTTTGACTGTAAGGACTGTAATCATTTTCAACTGCACTAAGGAGGCGCCAGGTGAGGCCTCGTCATGGCGGACGCGTACGTGAGAGTCGACCCTCCCGTTATCAAATTTGTCGATGTGAAAGTTGGACAAGTTTATAAAATTAAAGTGACTGCCACAAATATAGGCAAGAAGTTGAACAGAATAACATTTCAAATGCCATCCTCCAAGGTAAGATGAAAAATATCTTCTCAAACTAAAGATAAATACAAAGTTAAACTGATGGCTAAATGCTAACGCCAATTAAGAACTCAATTAGCTAACAATGTAGCTAATTCACGTGGTCTAGCTGAGGTCTGCTGCCACTTTACCGCAGAATGGGTGACTCCTAATTTGTTTATTTTACTTTTTAATGCTTTATAACAAATGTTCTTATATTTATAGACACTTTGCTAGTTAATATTGTGTCTATAATTACTACTTTTTCCGTTTTTCTCGCAGTTGTTTAAATTTACACCAAGCAAATCAGACGCGATGGTGGTTCCGGGCCTGCATGTCAGTGGTCTGTTGGAGTTCAGCCCAGAGAAAGAAGAGCATGTCAGAAGTGCTCTTATCGTTCATACAGACAATAGAACAATAGAAATCCCAATTCAGGCGTAAGTTTTAACGATAAAAATGTTGTTTTGGCGGGTTTAGTTTTGTACAATAAAATAATATATTTTTTTTATGTTTCCCCCCAATGTTTTACTGAAGGTTTCCCTTGATGTGTTGTTTATTAATGAATACAGTTGTTGATTTTGGCTGTGTCGCTGCCACAAGTCAAATTGTCAGCAAACAACATAGCATAATAAACCACGGTTCTGCTCCAGGTGAGTATTTATAGCCCTTTACTTCTTTAGTAGTTACTCATGTTTTTTGCTTATTATTTTTGTGGTCTGTTCATAAGGATGGTTCCAGGTGCAGGAAAGTGAGGATCCTTCAATCAAAGTCACACCCAGCGACGGTGTAGTGGCGGCTGGCGCCACCCAATGGATTACAGTGGAACTGCGTACTGATATAATGAGGGAAATCAACTACGACATCATGTAAGATAAATTGTTTGACAATATTACTAGTGAATATAGTGAATACAGTATAGAATATAAGTTTTTACTTTGTTTCTGCATTTAGTGTAAAACTCCAGAATTGCTCCCCTAGCATTCTTAAAATTAGAGGTAAAGTGGTGGACGAGCAACTGATGATTTTTGACTTGCAGGTAGTGAGTTTTGGTCTTACTTATTTTGTCTTAATATTTCTTAAGTATAAGAATAATGATAATAATACATACAAATTCTGAAATAGGGGGTTCCTCTGTCCTGTTTATGGTTCGGACCAGCCTATTTTGGGACTTCTTGTGAAAAAACTGTGGTTCTGAGGAACAATGGTCCCCAGGCTTGTGACTGGATCTATGTGCTACAGGCCTCTGTGTCAGGGACAGAGCCAGTGAGTTAACAATAATTTTAGAAAACAATTGAACATACTACAATTATTTCACTGTTATTATTTATGTTTTGCTTAACAGGGTACAGACCTTCAGTGCAGCACGACTACAGATGCTGCCCTGCTGGAAAAAATGCAGAACTGCAGCCTGTATTCTCCAGACATCTCTCAGGTCTTCATGTGCTCTCCAACACATGGTCGACTGGGAGCTTATGATCAAACCACTCTAACATTATGCTTCAGCCCAAGTTGTAAGAGGTAAAACTTAAAGTTCACACTTGTATCTGTTAAATATGATGCTTGTTTTGTTTGGTTTGTGCCATCTATACATTATTCCTTTCTGCTAAGTTTAACTTTTGCCAAATGAGGCCTTTTAAAATATTAAGGAAGTAGAATATGATCTGTGGATGGTTAAAAGTAAACATTTGTGCAGGGAAAAAACTTTGTTACTCCCCGTCGGGGAATCGAACCCCGGTCTCCCGCGTGACAGGCGGGGATACTCACCACTATACTAACGAGGAGCACATATGTATCAACAGGAGGGGCATGTCTTTTATGTATGTGTGTGTGTGTGTTTGTGTGCGTTTGTGTGCGTTTGTGTGCGTGTGCATGTGCGAGAATCTCAGAGTACATGTCTTTCAGGTTACACAAAGAGAAAGAGAACTGTTGTCCATTCAGACAAGATTACAGCCTTTTCCTATTGTTTGAGTCTGTGGGCAGAAAACACGGGTTCACTCACCAAAATGGTACTAGAAGCTATGCTAAAAAATAAGTATGGTATTTAGTAAAAAAATAAACTCCTGCTATTCTGTCCTTCAGGCAGCACTGGTGTGGAGCTAGCAGTTACAGGCTCTGGGTTTCCTGTGTCTCTTGTTCCGAGTCCTTCGCAAAAGTTTAACTTTCTCACATGTGTCATTGGAGAGTGCATGGATTTGCCCTGCGTCCTGCAGAACCTTTGCCCTCAGCTTCCTATACACTTCAGATTTCGCAAATTGCCACATTTTAGCAGCAAGCCATCTGCAGGGATCATAGCTCCTGGGCAATGCAAGGTACCAGTGGAAATTATTTGATCAAAATATGTTTCCTCCTTTATGAATATATCTTATACAACAAGAAACTATGTGGTAAAAAAACAAGATGTGAAATAATCCCTGCAGAGTCATTTACTGTGCACACTTTTCAGAATATAGTTATTTCCTTCAGTCCAAGGCAACAAGGAACTTTCCAGATGCTTCAAAAAATAGATGTCCTTGGTCAGGTCAGGCAACAGAGAGGGTCTAGCCCCAGCAACAGGTTTGAAGGACTCCACCTTCGCCCATTTCATACCATTGTCCTGCACTTGTCAGCGGTCTGTGGCAGCAGAACCACACATCCTTTACCCCAGCTAAATCCTGGTAAATGGTAAAGAAACAAAAATGTTTTGTAGTTATTCTCAGGTAGTTGTCATTGTTCTGTGCATATTAGGCATTACTCCATTAGTTACTAACCCAACTGGACTGCATCCACGGGTCCGACTGAGTGACATCTCACTCTGTCGTGAGGTGGTGCCAGCTGCAGTCCTCAGTGCGGACAAGACGACGCTACACAGGCACCACAGAGAGAAGTCTACCATCAGCAGAAAGCTAGAGTTTGTGGCTTTCCCAAATGACAGAGCTCAAAGCCTGAGGCCTCCCACACCACAAACACAGCGCAGGTAAATCCCTCTTAAACACTTTAACTAGAGGCATTTTATATGTGTATAAATGGATGATAAACATGACCATAAAAGAAATATAAATGTTACCGGGGCATGTAAAATATTATATATATTCAATTCTTTCGTCTCTGTATTGTAATTACTGCAGACCTGAAGTTATGAATTCTTTCATTTTAGGACCATCTTCACTGATGTACCCCGCCATTGTTATGTGGACACCAGCTATGCCTTTACTCAGCAGGAAAAAGAAAAAAGAAAGAGGAACCTGCAAATGTATGCTGATTTATTTACTTTGCGTCGACAGAGACGTCAACAAAAACTTCAGCAGAAGTATGTTCATGCTGAGATTTACTTCATTTGAATGAAAACTGCATTTTGACCCTGTATGTTTGCACAATAGGCAGCAAGGAAAAATAGAGAACGATGTGGATATTGGCCTTGAGCCATCCCAAGGTCTTGTGCCTCCTAAACTTTTGTGCAAAGACTTTGATCAACGAAGCACTTCTTTCTTTTGGTCCCAGAATCAGTTGAACGGCAAAGACAACAAGGCGTCTATCAAGTACAAACTCATCAAAGAGGTGAGAGATGCAATCATCCATTATGTCAAAGGTTGCAAGTTATACATTTTTTAATGATCATTTGTAGGTTTCAGGGCTACTTAATGCAGTTCCATCTACAAGCCAGGAGATGGCAGAATGTAACAGGACCCTGACCATCCAAGAGTTGTACCAAGTTGTTATTGGTTAGAGATAAGAAATTGTGAACAATATATTTATATTACCACTAAATGTATTTTCTCTCTCAATGTTTAACTGAGAACTAATTGTCTTGAGTCTTTTTTTGATTTAACTCCCTTCTCCTCAGGGCCATTGTCAGTAGACTTTGGAGAAGTGTGTGTCCGGTCAGTGTGTACTCAGACACTGGAAATGATCAATCATCTGTCCACACATGTCTGGGTCCAGCTCGAGGTGGACTGTCCCGAGCTTCAGGGCTCTTCACCAGCCTCTTATGTTCTCCCACCTCACTCACAAGCAGCACTAACCTTGACATTTCAAACCTCTGAGCTGGGGGAGTTTTATCGGTGTGAGAATGAAACAGCATTTTACACAGAGTAATATTTTGACTTTTTAAAATATATTTTTTTCTAATCTGCAGGACTGTGCCTTACACTATGAACCAGAAGCATCCTGGTCAGATTTTGGTCCAGGCGCAGGTTGTTCCTGTTTCTTTGGAGCTGTCCACTGACTGGCTTGTGCTTCACCCCACTTCCACTTTGCTCGCTCGCTCAGGGTACAGGAGCTCAGTGACCCTTAGAAACCACAGGAACCACCCAGCTGAGTTCACATGGAAACCAGTCATCACAGACAGTGGGATTCGGTTTTCCATTCGACCAGCTTCAGGTTTTAGTACCACTCTTTTAAGAAAACATGACATTGATCTTGCACATATTTTCTGTGACATACATAAATTAAAAAATACACTAAATTGTACATTTTCCTTATTAAATGAATCCTCTCCTTGTTGGTCAGGAGTTGTTGCTGCATATAAAGAACTGGACTGTGAAGTGGTGTGGCACCCCGCCTTCTCCTCCCCTGTAGAAGGAGATTTCGACCTGAGTATCCATGAAGGAAACAAACTGCGTTTGCACTGTGTGGCCAGAGTATGTATATTAGAGTCCCTTTCAATAGTTGTGGTAATTGAAAAACTTTCAGTTGATTGTATGTGTGACATTCTCAACTTTTGGAAAGTTAAAAAAAATATTTAGCTGGCCAGTTAAGTAAAAGTGATGAAATGTCAAGGGCTTTTCACTAGAATTCACTTTTTGCAGAGTCCCATTTTCCTATATGTTCAATCATACCAGCCCACATTTATCAGAGAGCCAGTTATTGATTTTTCTTCTGACAGAAACCTCACTGGACCCGAACCCAATTCAAGTGTTGCCTTTTGAGTAAAACTTTGATAAAAGACTTAGAAAGTGTCAAATGTGTTTGGGTATTGCATATCACAAAACAAGAGCATTTTTCACAATTTTTTCAGGTTGGACGCACCACCGTTCAGCTGACAGAAAAGAAACAAGTGACATTTGAATCAGTCCCCCTAAATATGACCTCTGTCAGAACTGCAGTGCTGCGTAACACTGGTGCCAACCATGCCTTCTATCAGGTGCTGTGTTTTGTTTTGTTCTGTGATCAGTGTAGAATGTTTATCCATCAATCTAGAAGTCATAATATTATGTCCTTTTGTTTACTTTGGAGCAGGTGGAGAATGTCTGCCCTATGCGAGGCATGGTTATGAGCCCAGCTGAAGGCATGGTGCCGAGAGGTGGGCAGACTATACTTAACATCCACTTCAACACAGATTCTGTCATTAAGTTTGACACCAGATTTGAGGTCAGAAAAACGAAGGCCTTTTGTTTTTGTTTAATTGTTTAAATCCAGGCAGTTATACCCCGATGATGTTTGATATATTCTATGCAGATAGCTCTGAAAGGCTTGAAGTCTATTGAGCTCACAGTGGGCGGATCAGTGGAGATTCCGAATGTAGAGATTAGCAGAGTAAGTTTTGAATTGTATTTATTGTTGTTAATTGGTGGTTTTCAGATTGTACAATGTGATGATGTCATACTCCCAGATGGGGGGCAAGAGCCAGTTTTCCCTATTGATTACATTGTACTTGGCCATGAAATATCCAAAAGGTAAATTCATCAATGTTGAACCTGGTACTTTCAACTACTTACTTAAACCCTAGAACTCATTGTATTACTACATAATGTTGCATTTTAACAATATTAATTTTGTTTGTATTAATTAATACCATTTTATAGAATGCTGAGATATCATCTGAAATCCACCAATAACCACTGGAAATCATGCCTAGCAAAAATGATTTATAATGAATATATAACTGTATTATATATTTAAATATAACCCACAAATTTGCATTTTGAACTAGTTAAAATAATCACAGAGCACTCAAAAAGTTCATGGTGAAAAGATAATATTATGCACTTGGTCCTTTTTCAGTCCAGTTTCCAACTGTATGGAGTCTATCTTGGTTCCCAGAGCAGTGTGCCCTTTACTTTGACAAACCACTCATCAGCTCCAGCCAGGGTCACCTTCAACTTGTCAGAATATACTGATTTTTCTGTTCAATCAACAGGCCTTTCAGCAGGTATAGTTAATATATGTATATTGGAGCGCAGACAAATTGCTGTTGAACAAAGCTTGATTATAAAATGTATATCAAGAATGCAGAGTTTTTCATATAATCAAATCTGGTAAATGTCCTTCTTAAGTGATGGAGCCTGGTATGCCTGTTGTGGAAATACAGCCTAAACAAACTGTAAACTGCTCCCTTGTCTTCTGTCCCACTCAGGTGAGTTATAAATATCACATTCTTTGTAAAATGTGAAATGCACCTTAAATTTGACTAAAACAGTATTTATAGGTGGCCAGCTATGATTTTGAGCTCCCCATGAGTGTCAATGGAATGGTATTTTCTCATACCCTTCCGTCCCGTCCTTTTTCATCATCCACTTTCTCCACCTCATGCACTTTGACATCTGGCAGCAGCAAAGCGACCATCCTGCCGATCCCTCTGCCAGTTGCCATAGCAACAGGTTCCAGACATGTAGAGGCCACAGGTGAGGTCATTCATGTAGACCATTGAGTCATTGAACTGGATTACTATGCCAGTGCCCAAGGTAACAAAACAATAAAGTTTCAATTCACTCTTCCAATTTCTACAGTGATTCGTGCTCCATTACAAATGTCTCCTGACAGTATACATTTTAATATGACTTCTATGTCTCACACTTACACTAAGGTACATTACCTGTTTTATCTTTTACGTTTTTATTGGCAAGTGTACCATGTTTTTACCATTTTGAGGAGGGAACTACATGAAATTAAAGTAATCCATTTCCTTCCAAACAGACAGTTGTGCTAAAAGCTGATTCTGAAGAAAACATGTGCTGGAGTTCTTCAATGCAGCCAGATGTAAGTTGGTGGATTGACTGCCATGCAGCTGGAATCTGTACTATTGATGGAGACGAGCCACTGTGCACAGTGTCTCCATCCTCAGGGAGACTCGAGCCTGGCCAGTCCATCTGTTTGTATGTCAGCATTAGATCTGAGAGATTTCAAAGAGGTTAGACCACAAATCATGCTTATTTGTTTCACTGAAATCCATTATATCAATTCTGTGTAAATGTTTTTAGTTCCTGGTGCAGTGACAAAACTGACCCTTTCTCTTTACCTGGGAGACAAGCAGCAGAATGAGATCAGAGACCATAAAAAAAAATACAGGGAGTTGTCCATTACTGTACACCATCTCCCCCACATCACTGTGCACCCTCCGCAGCTCCTGCTCACTCCAGTGCCTCTGGGGTGCAACATGACCGTAACACTCACTGTTGTGGCCACAGGATACCTGAGGTTGGTCTTCTTTGTTGTGTGCAGTTTCAAACATGACACTTAAGAGACAAAGAGACAAATGCAATGTATGGTTGTCTCCAAGGAAAGCAAAAGAAAACATTTTGTGTCAAGGGCAGCATCACCGATGCGGCTGACAAGATTGAGGTTACTTTATAACATGAGCTATCAAACTTGATTGACTACATTTTTTTCTCCCTTTGTCCAAACATCAACACTGTTTCACTCACCATAATTTTCTGACTTCCATCTTCTGGATGTAAAATATGCCTCATGTTATTGTTGTTCTCAAGTAATTTTGCTGATATAACCAAACATTATTATTAATTGATCTTTAATTAAAACATGTGTTTATTTGTTGCCTCTACTGCATCTACTAGTGCATTTCTGTTAAAGCCTGTTTGGTAATAATAATGGTAATTAAATAGGACATTGTTTTTTTTTTCCTCAGTGGCACACACATTACAGCTGAAATTAGTGATGTAGAGCCAGAGAGTGGGAGAAAACAGCAGCCCCTCTCACTGACTTTTCCTCAGGGAACACAGATTCCTGCACAAGACCAGAACAAGGTATTGCAACAATTAGGTGGCAACTGACAGAATGGACAAACACTCAGTGCTCTTGTTTTTGCACTTAGGTGTATACATATTTATCTGATGCGTATGTCTTTTTGTTTGTTTTTTTAATTAAAGAACTCAACAGGGATAATTGAAAAAGAAACAACCTCTCT